ACTATAATTACCAAGTTTGATTCACCTGTCATCCATATCTTTATTTAAGTTAATTCAATTCTTATGGCTTACTCTAGAGTAACACTGTGACATGTGGTTTGGAGATAAAAATAAAAATAGTTCTCATGTCTATAGTATTTTTTAGGATGATACAAAAGACATATAGGCAAGATAAACTACCAACAGAAGAAGAATAGAGCCTTCATATTCTCTGTTAAAGCTGGAAAAATAAATATTAATTTAATATTTGGCTTTGGAAATGATTTGTGTCAATATATTGCTTCATTACTCTGTAGAAAACTTGGACTTTCTTACAAGAACTGAGTATTTGCATTTGATTGTCTAATTTATTTTATCTTTACTTTTAAATTTCTATCTTTTACTATGCATTCAAAATGGCATTTTGAACTTTTATTGAGGACCAGAAGAAAATTATACCCTCTTTCCCAGGTGCATCATTTCAGGTTGAAAAGTAGAATAATATGATGGCAAAAAATTATGTTTTCATCTGTGAGACATGGCAGTAACAGCTATTCAGCAAGAGTAAGAATTTTCTCCTCCCTTCCAAAGTGGCCCATTTGGGACCAGAATGAAAACACTGGGTGTTTTGGTTTTCTCTAGATTAGACTCTCAAATTCTATAATTGAAGTTGATTATCTGAACATCAACAGATAATAATGTGTTTTTTTATTGTAATGATGAGTACTGGTTATGGCATTTAGGGCCCTTTGTCTGAAATGACACATGTTTGGCAGTATAATATCTGTTCTTTTTGCTTATGATAGGTAACTATGAGATTATTGAAAACATATTTTGAAGTAGTATCATATGTCCATTGAAAGAAATGTGTGATTCTGCTAATTGGATTTCCTCTGGTTTATAATCTTTGCCTAACCATTTCATTCATATTTAAAAATAGTTATTATTAAATTTAAAGAATATTTGTAACCATTCTGATGGGCAGAAATACATGTGTCTTGTTTCAGGTTTACCCTATTTTAGATGTTTCCTAATTTTTCAGATAATAATTCAATTTCATTCTTCTGAATTATAACTAAGTGGCTTAATTATTGCTATTTTTCTGTGACATGCAAGAGTGAGAAAAGATGTAAGAACCAAAATGAGATGAAGAAAATATACACTATAGGAGAAATACTTCAAAGCAAAATAAAAAACCCTCAAAATATGAGTCCACTTTCTTATAAAAACCAGAATTTAAATTTATGATTTTCTAAAAAATGCATATGATTTTCCTGATTATACTTATATAAGTATATATAGCATTTATTGAAAACTGTGGAATAATTTTATAATTTGAATTTTTTTTTACAAGATATAGTCAGGCTTCCATATCTGCAAGTTTCGCCAACCCAGATCACACATTTTAAAAAATTGTATTTATACAGACTGTGTACAGATTATTTTCATTATTCCCTAAACAATACAGTGGGACAGCTATTTGCATAGCATCTGTATGCTGTTAAGTAATCTAGAGGTTACTTAAAGTGTTTGAGAGGATGTGGATATGTTATATGCAAATACCAGGACACTATATAAGAGAGGCTTGAGCATCCATGGATTTTAGCATTTGAGGAAAGTCCTAGAACCAATGCACCAGGGATGCAAAGGGATGAATATAATCAATTTTAAAAGATTTGTGTGGTTCACATATTTGGCCTAAATAATGACTGCATTTTAGAGATATATAAAGTATATTAACAAATTACCGAAAACTTACTTTCTTACACCTTTCATTTTTAAGCCACAAAAGATTATGAGTGATAGTGGCAGCCAATTCTATGTGGAAACAATAAGAATATTTGCCCAACTTAAGAGATGTCAAAAAGGACGTTTCCTGGTAGAATTATATGTCATTAGGTAGAGTAAATAATTTTAATTTGATTAGCATTTCATAAAAGGCAAGGTTATAGGCTGCAAGAATATGAATAGGTGTGTTGAATAGATAATAATGTGAAAAATGTGAAGGTAGTTACGTTTAAATGCAGAAATCCAGGCAAGAATGCAGCTGCTTGATAACTTACTGGAAAAATTTTCTTGTTACTACCTTATCCCAAACCACTAATGAGAAACATTTTTTTAAGATTTAAAATTGTGTAAATGCTTTGTGCCTAGAACTGATGGAAGTAATTGGTAAACTGCTTAATCAAGTCCCACTTGGAAGTGAATGGGAACCGGAGGATAGAAAATGTAGGCTGGCTGGGTAAGTAACCCAACAAGTCAGTGGAGTTCTCTTTACAGAAAGAAACAAAGATAGCAGTAATTAATGACCCTGACTCTGTGCCAAAAAAGCTTTCTTCTGACAACTCCAACTTAATTAAAACTTAAGACATTTCAATGGCTTCAGAAAGCCCCTGATGGGGTGAACTCTTGCAGACTCGTGAGAAAATTTTGTAAATTAAAGGAAAAGATGTGTGTTACCACTAGTGCCATGACTCTAATCCCTGACAGTCAAAGAATCTATTTAGCCCAAGCCTTTTCTTTTAACCAGCTCACACCTGCAGGCTTCCTGGCACTTCCTCCGCACCAGAGAAGGCAGTTTTTGTATTTTTACGGAAGATCAGATAATAGGAGCCTTGCTGTTCCTTTTGTTTTTGTGCATTGTTCATTAGCCTGTGAGTGTTATAGGCACACTTGATATGCTTGGCTTGCTCTGGAGTACAGCATCGCCTGAAAGCTTTCGGTGGTACAACACAGGGTGAAGATGGGTTGGC